CAAATTGTATAAATTTCGTGATAAAATCAGTGATCAAATCATGTAAATTCCATATGAATTCCGTGCAAATTCCGTATCCAAACCATATTTTTAGTGATACGGAATTGTGCATTTTTCCGTATCCTATTATGATACGTTATTTCTAAGGAAAAAAATCGTATAAAAACTTTATAAAAAACGTATCCAATTTTTTTATAGGGTAGAAAAATGATCATTTATCGGGGGTTTTCCCAGAATTTTTTTTATAGGGCATTAAACTTCTTTAGCCCGGCGTGCCATATTACTAACTTTGCAATACGCAATTTTATTTATATTAAATTCTAAAATTAATCCGCACTAAGAAATTTCTATTATTTTAACAATGTCTAATAATGCTGAACTTAAGTTACTGGTAATTCAATTAAGTGGATTAATTGGATTAAAAAAGCTATTGCGAAAGCACATTAAATATTACGATTACCAATATTTTAATAATATCCAAGAAATTGGTTTCGGAAGTTTTGAAGTTCGTGGCCAGAAAACTCTTCCCAAATAATGCAGCATATACTGCTAAGATAGCAAAGATTCGTGAATCATACAAGAATAAACAAGCTCTTTTAGACAAACTTGAGGCCCTCTTCGAGTTGTATTATAATGTAACTAAGGACTCATTAACAGGTCCTCCAAAGCAAGCTGTCACTATGAATGAGGCTGAGAAAACATTAGCAGAACTTCTTGCATAAGCGGCTCCTGTACAAATTTAGTTTATATTTTTTATCCATTTGTAATGGGCATACAGTAATTGAAGATGGCTATAGTATAAGTAACATAACATCATGTTGGACCGATTACCAGTAGAAATAGTCGAACGCATTGTTGCAAAGATCCCAGATACTGACCTTATTGCAGCGAGTAAAGTAGATAGTGTGTGGTGGCAGGAGGTTCGTCAAGAAGCATATAAGAGATGGAAAAATTACGCTACTACAATTGGGCATGTCCAAGCTCTTAGAAAGCCGTTTGAAAAAGGGAATATTGACTGGATATCATTTGAAGATGTAAACGACTTCTATAAAAGATGGATAGACCGCCTCACCGAGGATCAGCTTTATATTATAGAGAAAATGCTTAGAAATGGGATGGTCGTGGACCCCCAAGAGAGGGAAACCATAGAGCATGCATTAAGTAAACAAAGATGGGGAGGCGACCCTTGGGGACTGAACTGGGAGTGGAACAAATGGACTCAACAGGAGTAGCTTATTTATCAGGTATCCTCATATTTCTCGACAAGGACTGATGACCATGTAACCTTATCATCAGGTATCCTCATATTTTTTTACAAGGATTGATGACCATGTAACCTTATCATCAGGTATCCTTGCATTTTTTAATAAGGAATGATGACCATGTAAACTTATCATCAGGTATTCTAGTATTTTTTGATAAGGACTGATGACCGTGTCACTTGGTTATTGTAAATTGAAGGAAACTATTAGGTATGTAGACACATACAGAAAAAAGACATGTCTTACCCTTATATAGCTAACCCTATAACTGGACGTCCAATTATTATCGGTGGAGATACCTTTAATCGAATAGTTATGGAATCCCATGATTATATTGATGGAAGGCTTGTCCGTAGACAAACTGCACCTCCACCTGAAGAGCAATCTGTATATTTAAATACAGATACAGGACGTTATGTTCGACGTGGTACTAGAACATATCATAGACTGATTGAGAGTGACTATGAGGTAGTTGAGGATTACTACCTTGTCCATTATGAAGAAGAGGCGCTTATAGAGGAAATCATCAATGAAACACGCTATAATGAGGAAAATCTTGATGGGCAGCGGTTAACTTTCAATGATATACAACAAATCAGGGCCGCTATTCAGGCTGACCAAGATGAATATGATGATTTTATCTTACAGCAAGATACGACTAACGGGACACCTTCCTCTGGTCCTTCCGGTCATCCACGAACTTTGGAGGACCATACCCCGAGACTTGCAGAGCTTAATATTGAGTTGTGTAGGGAATGTCTCATGCCTGTAAGCCCAAGTGACTTAACGGACAAGTTGTGCAAGGACTGCTCCGAATAGTTACTTAATTTTGAATAATTCTTTTTTACATAAAGAAAAATAGCCATGTCAACATCAATCGTAATAAACCAGTGCCAAAACTGTGGAGTAATCACTCCAAAAACAGCATATAGAGGATTATCCAGAGTATTATAAAGACAGATTATAAAGAAGATTAGAGAAGAGAATGAACCTATACAAGCCTTGGGACTTGCTAGGGATAAGTTAGTTCAGATCATTCATCGGGGAAGTAATGTGGACTTTACACAATTGTTTACACAAAAACTGGATATGAATATTATGGATGGAGAGCCATATGAAGATATTAGGAAGTGGCTTCTCGAACAGCTTATAGCCATAGGTTATGACAGTGGAGAAATTGCTTTATATCAATTTATAAGGGATACATATACAGATGGTATTGAAGAGCCTTTCACTACATTCTATGAGAACTATGTAAATCATATAAGTAATCCAATGACTAAGAACTTTGCTTCTCGTGCTTTAGGAGCAATAGGGTTGAAAGATAAGATGTTAAGAATTGACTTTGAAGGCCGTAAAAAAAGTGCTATGATTCTTAGAGCTTCTGCAGACGAATTACTTGATATTCTCACAAGATACTATTAATACCTACTTGTAATGCTCGACGGTCCATGTGGCTCTTAGAAAAGATTTGTAGAAGGACTTCAATACCTTCTATTATTTGTTTATTATCCAGAGGGCGACTAGACTTCAGGGCTTCATATCGGGAGAATAACTCCTTCACATTCTCAGTTTTCAGAGTTTCAGTCTTTGCAGTCCTACCCTGTACTTTTGCTAAAAAATACTAAAAGTCAGCTCCTAGGGTCTTACCAGAGAGTCCATAAGCTTCCCGAAAGACATATTTAATCCAGGTATCTGCATTCTTGGCTAATACACCAGGTACAAGTAAATGTTGACGTTCTTTAGGAGATGGAAATACTCGAGCAAATTCAATCAAGTGTCCACCTTTTTTTGCTTCAAATACAGCTTTCTGACCATAGGGACTAAACTTGGATCGAACTGTGATTGAACTGGGTTCAGACTGAGATCGAACTGGGTTCAAACTTGGATCAAACTGAGTTTGAACTGAGATCGAACTAGGATTGAACTGAGATTGCTCTGTGATAGAACTGAGACTAGTATCCCATCTTACTCGAATGGACAGTGGATCACTTTTGGACCGTCTAAGATCAAACACTACAAATTCACGTTGCAAAGTAAGATCATCAATTACTGGTGCTAATGACTCTGATTCTTCTGTATATAGGCGAATGATTCTCTTAGTATCTGTAAGGCTACCATGACCTCCATGCAGTGAGATGTAGTTAACATTTTCTCGAATAGCCTTAGGAATGGCAAAGAATCTTTGGGCTACATAAATACATGAAATATTTTTGTGTCGTCCATGTGTAAAGTAACCAGTGATGAGATCCTGGATTTTTTTAGGTGCATCCATAAGATCCTCAAAGATTACAACAGTAGCTTGAGTAGGGTCGAAGGAGTCAATCTCTGGAATCTCACTATGGGTTACTGCAGTGAATGGGATCTTCTTCTCTTCGAAAAAATCATGTACAACTGTCCACTTCGGCTCATCAAGATATCTGCCAACTAAAAGTACTGCATCACATAGTACATACCGATTACCATCCTTCTTTGCTTTCTTGTCACCCATTAACAAATTAATGATCATAGTTGTCTTACCTGAGTCTGAGCTACCTGCTACGGCTAATCGAAAGGGCCATGATGGAGCAAACTCATTGCCTTGTCTTGAGTCAGTCATGTACTCGTCCAAATTGTATACATAAAGATCCATTTGAATTTTATTCTAACTTAGTTTAAATACTATGTCGACATCAACACCAATTCCAGTTTATACTCCTTCAGAACCTACTGGACCACCTCCTGCACACTTGATCAATGAAAAAGACGATGATGAATTAGTTAGAATACTAAAGGCTCATGCAAATTTATTGACTACCAGGGGTCGTTTAACTGTTGATTCAGAGATACAGGAGGCAAATAATCAAATCAAACATATTATTAATATATTAATGTATCGCTGTAAAGCAAAACATGAAGAACTTGGTATTACAAAAGATTTGTTAGTTTTTGCACAAGGTAAGATAAATGCATTTGATGAAACATTTACTAATTTAGAAAAACAATTAGTTATTATACGTGCTGCCAATGATAATTTCATAGAAGAAAACCATAACCTGCAAAGAGATTATGATACTATGGTAGAGCTTCGTCGACGGGCTATAGGTGAACGTAATCAGGCATGACATGAATGTAATGTATTACAAGCAGATTATACTCAAGCAGTAAGGGATCGTAATGAGGCTCAAAATGCTGTGAATCGTGGTAATATCCTTTTAAATCATTGGCAGCTGAGGGCTACTCGGACTGGAGGACAACTTGTATTGGTTAATGCGCAACTTGGACAGGTTAATGCACAGCTAGCACATGCTAATAATAGGGTGCGTTTTGGGATTCAGACATTAGGGAGACTTAGAAATAGACTTTTCCAACAGATAGCTGCTCTTAGAATTCAGGTACAATGGTTTCGAATTAGACAATTGAACCCTCCTCCACCTCTTTTAAACAATCCACTAGAGACGATATGGCTACCACTGCGATAGGATTGCCGATTTTTGAGGGTAAAGCTACTGATGATATTGATACATTTGTTAGGCTTTATATGGGTTATCTTGATACTATTAATCTTAACCTATACGCTGCTGGAGGGCCACCAGAGTCTTGGAAAAGAGCTATGGGTATACTTAGAAGCTGCATGGC